GACTACTAGAGTGCATGTACGTGTACACAGCCTGCCGTGTGTATTTACTGTACTACGTGTACTTTATACTTGTGTGTGAGAGAGTGTGTGAGAACGAGCTTCATTTAGCAGGTGCGCTTTGACAGTTCTTGAATGCGTGCCAAGTGTGCTGCTGTACGGGGATAAGAAAGGCAGTGCATGTGCGGAGTTGGACTGTGACAGATGGGATGGTTTAACTTATAGAGTTCTGTTAAGATCTAGAGGTTTTCTGATGCCGCGCAGCCAAACAGGTGTGGAGAGTAAAGACACCACAGAGGAGGTGAAGGGGCCTCCGCGGGTGTATTCATCTGCTGTTTAAACTAATAAGGGACAACGTGTCATTAATATATAGGATCATACAGGATGGCACTATTGTGAGAAATCTAATGGGAGTACCTCGCTTTAGAAATGTTAAATGTTACTGTTTACAAATGATCCATCCGACTTATTTACGTCTGATTATTTGTTCCATTAAGAAATGACTACCAAGCTCAAGTAACTAAGTCCATATTTTTCTCAGCCCTACAAGATGATTTTGTGACAACCACATGTCCCCGTCCCTATCCCTCCTTTAGGCCCTTGTCCCTCAGCCCTTATTTATTTAAATGTCTCACCATTTATTGAAGCCACATGTACTGTTTTATAAGTGAGACAGAAAATATGATAATATTTTTTTTTCTCTCAAATAAAACTAAACTAAACTAACAAACAAACAAAAACTAAAAAACATCAAGACTGTTTAAGTATTAATGTAATTATGGTTGTCACTCTAAACTCAGTGCTTAAGCCAAGACTCTCCAGATTCCTTTTGTGTGTGTGTCTGTGAGAGAGAGAATAATTTGGAAATAAAAGTTTCCATTTTCTAGTTTGAATTTAAATTATCTTAAATATATTTTACTGATAAAGAATTAAAATGATTGAGTTGTAATTTGCACATTTCTAAAGACTTCAAAGAAACCATCTTGTGGGGGACTTGAAACATACTTTATTTGTCAGTGCCCAAACAATGCCATATTGTTAGACTTCTGTAGGAGCAGATGTCCTTGCTTTATCCTTCAGAATGACTCATGTTGGTAATATAACTCCAAATGAGACAACTGAGACACCAGACAAACATTTTATAAAGTGGATTCATGGAGTTCTTGCTTAGAATACATTCACATCTATATATTTATAAAACAGTCAATATTTGAACTTTACATCTGAATGCAATGTATAAAATGTGCTATAAGTTCCTGTGTTGTTGAGTTGAAAAGTTCATGTTGTTAGTGGTGTCCAGGTGTCTCTAGAAGCAGACAAGAAGCCTCACCATATGGTCGGCTTTCACCAGACGCCAACTGTCCCCGCCTCTGACTCTCCCATGCCCGACTGCTACTGTGCAAGGCAAAGAGCTATCAACGTTTGTGCCTAGCATTGAGTACAGACATTGAGTAGGCTTCATGTAGCCTTTCAGATAGAGTTCTGTTTGATTTTCAAGAACACTTTACATATTACAGTACAAAAGTACTGATGTACATGCTATTCCAACATCTTTCTTGCATAAATATTTTTGATCAAATACTACAAAATGTACTTTGCAGTTGGTAATGTAATTTTATATTTTACATACAATGCAGACAGGTTTTAAATAAAAAAGCACAGCTTGCCCAGCCCAAAATTCAAACTCAGGCTACACTCAACCAGTGCTTCAATGTGGTCACTGAGAGTAGGATTAAAAGTTTTGAAAAACTTGCTTTTGGGAGATGATTGATCAGTTTTGAATGTACATTTTTGTTTTGAAAAAACATAAACCTGTTTAGGATTTTGTGTGAGCTGTTTTGCAAATGTAAAATTAGAGTAGATAAAAGTGCCAAAGCAATTGAGAAAAACTCTTATGTGGTGCATAGAAAGTATGGGACAGAGAGTTTTTGACTTGCTAAAAAGTAGTTTTTGATGGGTTTACAGATTGTGTTGGATTAGAACTGGAGTACCCAACTTTATTTTTGTAAATGAGTACATTGAGCAGCACTTTGTGATAAGGTCACTTCAATGCACGCTGTAGTAAAATACTGTATCGATGGCAAACCACTGAATATGGTTGGTACTGCTTTTCTTCACTGAAAAAACTTTCTAAAACAATACATGTTCATGAATGTTCATATGTGTTGACTTCTGGTAAAGTGTCAAATGCTTTGTGACAATGAGTAAGTTATTTTCTTCATCCTTTCATAGTTTGTAAATGTAGTACCCAAGTGTCACACACAACTGTTAAATCAGACCAGATGGATCAATTTTAGAACAACCAAACTGCATGACACAAACTGACCCATTCCTTCAGGTTAGTGCTACATTAAAGTATACTGGGTGCTTGCTACTGCATGCTGATTGCAGTTTTAAAGAGGTAATGAAGCCCTGATGTGTCCTCCTGTGGGCCTGTATTTGGTGAGGGGTGCCTGTGTGTCGCTGATAGAGGGATCTCTCTGACACGGATGCTCTGTTGCAACGCATCTGGAGCCAGAGTCTGCAGCCGCTGGGGGGAGATAAGGCAGGGCTCTAACGTCCTCTGTGCCCTGCTCCCTCCTTGGCCCGTCCCACCATGGCCCTGACCTTATCAGAGGGGAGAAGGCACCACCGGGTCGCCTCTGTGATAGCACCTGCCACAACCAGAGCTGCCCCTGGTGATTGTGGGAGAATCATTATCTCCCTCTTCCCCAAAAACTCATTTTATACCTGCCAACATCTGAGAGGAGGGTGCAGAGTCAGGCAGTTAACAGGTATATGCAGAGGAGATGTGCATATTTATGTCCTGTGTGCACTGACATGTGGGAATATTTATCTGTTATCAGTGTTGTAAAACCTGATACAGTTAATATGGGATATACTGTCATTAAGATGGTTGTCTATGTACCTGTACCTCACAACATGCAACTATGTAGGAAAAGTACAATATCTGTAGAAACTCAAGAAACTTGGTAACATGTATACATTTTATTTACTGTATTTATTCATTCATTCATTCATGTGATCACTTGGGAAACTTCTCAGACTCTTTGTGTGGCAGTGAACTTTCTGTCTCTCAGTAAACATATTGTGTTTGCTGGAACAAAATATACAATGTGTTCTCCTGAGGCAGTAATGCACAAGCTTAAAGTTACTGGGACTGCATGTTGGTCAGAGGAATTCACAAACATTATTCACTTTGGTAATCTTTATCTTACATGATTAAAATATGACACATGCAGCTTCATTTCAGGAGGCAGACAGAGTCTGGTTTTGTAATTGAAAATTTGCCTACAGATGGGAAAAGTTTTACTTTTGAGGGGAAATCCTGTTGTTTCCTTTCCTGAGACGAGAGTCTCTGAAGTTGAAGTTTGTTGGTGTAGACTTGAGTTCAGTAGTCACTTCTCTGTCCGCCTCCACACTGTGAGTTAGAAAAGCCAACAGAAGTTTGTCTCACTTCCTCTGAGCTCATGACCATCTGTGAGCTGGTTTCAGCCAGGCCCTACACATCTGTGTGCTACATCCCCTCTCACTTCTGCCTCTGTGGCTCTGTGTTTGACTGTGACTGAGTGCGGCTGCATGTGGTCACTGTAGTCAGTGCACAGGAGGTGGGCTGCTGTCAGACTGTGCAGTTCATTTAGGCTAGAGGTTAATGAGTGCTCAGGGGTCAGAGGTCAAGGAGGCGACAGCAACAGTGTTGGTAGAGTTTCACATGGGAGCTCCTTCAGCTGTTGTGACTCTGTAAAGTTTATTTTTGCAACTTTGATGTTACTTGCCAACAATCTTTTAGCATGTGTGGACCAGAGTCTAAAGATGAACTGCTAATGGTGTAAATTAGGGCACACATGATCTCATATCTGTGACGATGTGAAAGCGTCACATCACTATTTCTCTTTGTAATGTATGTATGTCACTGTTTGCCACCAACTTCTCACATTGGTCATTTCAAGAAAATGCCCACCCCTAGTGTCAACAGGCACCGTTACTTGTAATTTATTCATTTCTGAACTTCTTGACTAATTTATTTATGCTCTAAATATTAAGCATTAAGTTATACAATTCTATGTCATTAAATATGCTTGCTATTGTATTAAACAAATTCTACCCAACCACATAGGCAAGTCAGTGATTTTGGGGCAGTAAAATGTTTTACAATGGGTCTGAGTAAGGTGCACAGAAAGAATGACCTAAGGAAGAAGCGCGCTGAGCTTAAATAGAGCATGCAGAGCGAGACGTCTGTGGGCCGCAGACACAGCTGGTTCCTGACAGAGGAAGCCCAGATGGAGGTCCAGGTCCTGCTGCGGTCTGTAGATGTCACTGCAGCTTGGCCTCCAGGGCAGAAGTGGGTGGCATCAGTTACATTTATTTGACTAACTTAAAGACATTGTTTTTATCTGTAATTTTCAGCAGCATCCTTTAACTACAATTTTTTATTTTTTATTTTAATTTTTAATTTTTTTTTTATTTAAAGGTGCATTGCGCAACTTTTCTGGTGGAGATGTTAGTGCTTTGTCTGGAATGTTCCATGGTATGACATTAAACACATGTTTTTTTTACATGTTTTTCTATAGCTTAAGAATAAAATAATTCTGTCAGTGAATAGGGTCTCCTCTCCACAGCTCTGACCTGTAATGTAGCCTATTGTCTCCCTTGAGATAGATAAGTATAATCTCTACCATCGAACATGCTAGACAAACTTTAGGAAATGTTTTTGTTTGATCTTTCTACTGTCAACATTTTAAAATATGATCTAGTCTCTTTATCTAGTAGGTGTGTTTTTTTTTTTTTTTTTTTTTCTGCATTATGTGTTGCCCTTCCAGTCACATTCACTTTAATTTATAAATCAATCTCTTTAAGTTACTAGTTTTCCAATACATTTTTACTCTAACTTGAATGATTTCTTGGACCAATTTTGTCTACTTTCCTCTGCTCCCGGTGGACACTGTGCTGCTGCCATACACTTCTGCTTTCAGTGAACAGAGCAGAGCAGCAGAGGAGGAGGGTACAGCTCAGAGCACGGCCCCTCAGCCAGAGCACGAGACACGCTGACCGCCCGCTAACATGCGCTCTCACACATAACACGTTCTAGTTAGTGAGAGAGGACACACTACGCATTTAGATAGACAGGACAGAGTTTTGTTTTTTATGTGATTTTCAGTGAGTGCAATCAATGTAGGAATGCAGGCGAAATGGTCAGAAATCAGAAGTTAAGAGGGTGAATCATCGAGAATGTGCTTCAATTATGAGTGATGCCAGGCGACTTTGAAGATACACCCTCCCAACTTTTTGGTATACCTTTTTTTTGGACATACAGAGACTTCATTATACTTAAATTGTCCACCTGACTCATAATACATTTAGACAACACTCCAGCATGTCAGCTGAGGTGCACCTGGAGCGTCTAAAAAAGGCTTCCTCTTCTTCGGCGTTTGCTCTGTGCGTCCCCACGGTGACGCTGATCAGCCACAAACCGCTCCGGGATCGAGCCAGTGCACACAGACCCCCGCACCTGCCCCAAAGCGCTGGAGCCCACTATAGATGCAGAGAAGGTAGGAGTGGACTATATCCTGAAGGACTGTCTTCTGAAGTCTTCTGGCAGTCTGGTGAGTGATGGAAGCTCCCACTGCTGTCAACTCTGCTCATTAACTCGGAGTGATTGACAGATAATCAGTTTGTGTTGACTTAGCACCGGCAGCCTGTTATAAGGGCAATTTGAGGCTTCTTTGTTGAGCTGCTGCACCAACTGTCTTGTTATTACAGTAATGCAAAGTTTTTCAAGGTTAGATATAATATGACCCTGCAGTTTTAAAGGTGCACTGTGTAACTATAACTCTATTCTCCATTCAGATAATATTTCTTTGTCTTTGATGTGCATATCTTTTTTATTCTATAAAAACTATAGCTGTTTATATTATGAAAAAATTTGTTGAAAAATATGCATTCTTACTGTGAGTGACGTCACCTTTTCACAGGTCTGACCTGTAAATTTGCGTCATCTGCTTGTCTTTGTGGAGGTATGTAAGTTTAATGCCATGCTGTGGAACATTCTAGGCAGTAATGTCACAGTGGAGACAGGCAGATGGCAGACTCTCCAGAGATGTTTCATGGTACACATATAATACATATTGTCTTATTGTTTTTGGGAGGAATCTGATGTAAAAACCCCACAGTCTACTTTTTAGCACATTTTTAGAAAAATCTTGTAATATGGGCCATGTTGGGAGCATAATTTCTGTAGTCATACTTACTTTGTCTGAAAAGATATACACAATATTTAAGCATTTATTTGCAGGGTTGATCAAAACAGGTGACAGTGTACACCTCAACGATAGGCCCTGACAACAAATGTATTTTCACATACTGCAAGTCTTGCAATAAAAGACACATCGGCCTATAGATGGTTCCAGTTCTCATGGTAATCCATTTGGCTTGAGGTATGTGAGCAAACAGCAGGTGCAGGTGAGGGGAAGAGGTTTAGATGTTTACAAATTGGTAGAGATCAGGAGGCTCTCCTGGTTTTGACTTATTCATCTTCTTCCTCCTTTCCTGGGCACTGGAGCAACTATAGGTCCGTTGTTTTGTCCTCACTTTTTTAACCTTTGCAGCACTGAGGAGAGTTTGGAACAAAGCTGCAAATATGTGACATTTTTGAAGTATTCAGTGTTATAGCTGGGTACCTGTTCCCCATGTGATGGTGCTTTTTTAAAGGTGAAGTCTTTGGTACAAAGAGTTGTTCTTTCCAGATCCACAAGACTCATCCCACATGGCGTCAGTGGCCTCCTCATTGACCCTCTGCAAGTGCTCCTCTATAGGCACCCGGGCGAAATACAGCCCAGTCAGACCTCTGAGCTTCTTCACGGTGGTTCACATGCTGTGGTGGGGGAATACTTGGATGAATCTGTAGTACTGACTTACATCAGGAAACTGGGCGATCCTTTTGCCAATCTTTATTGTCCACAGTATGGGACTGGTCCAGGGCAATGTACATTTTTCTCTTCAGCATATAGAAATTGTACTTTGTTTTAGAGATGTCATCTGAGCCAGTCTCATCTGTAGCTGTTTCTTGTCCAGGCTCTCTGAAGAGTTGTTCTCACTCTTTTTTTCCTTTTCTTCTTCCATCGGTTCTTCACAAGAACCTCTTGGTCCAGTTTGGTGGTCAGTTCTCTCCTCTGTGCCATCTGAGTGAGATCCATCCATACTCTCCTCTTTTATTCTCAACAACTGTAAAGCATTATAGTTGCTCCTCAGTTATGCTCTCCTCTCCCTGGTCCTAATCCAGCTCTGGAGCTGTCCAGGATGTGCTCATCTGCTTCTTCAGGCTTTCCACTCATGTGACACTGTCTAAGGCCTCCTCTTTCATCTCCAGGCATATTTCTGATTTTCACTCTGAACAAACACAACACTGATGGATCCCCCTCCACCTCCACCTGGTGCTACTCAGTGAATAGCCCTGCTTTATAACATTTAAGAGATCCTCTAACTTGCTGCCATGTGTTCTAGTTGTATTTGCCTTAATGTGTGTAGTTAGTTGTTGCTTCATTGGTAATACATACAGATTCATTTACTCCAAATGCCTGAATGAATATGGAAAAAAAAAAAAAAAAAACTTTAAGTGAGCTTTTTTTTTTGCCAAACAAGGGATACTTCCACGACTGCGAGGAAAGAAGCCAACTCAGAAAAAAATTTAATTGATTCTTAAAGCACTGAAAATAGGGCCTCTAGGTAAAACCTGCCACTTAAATCAGTGAAGGGTTGAAGGGAAGAGGGAGATGCATTAAGGAGCAAACATTAAAGGCCTAATTTTATAGACTCTAAATATGTAGAAAGTGTCTGAGCCAGGCGGCGGACTAATACACCACGTAGTGCATTACCTGCAGCGCCTGCCGTCTCTTGGCGGTAATGAGCTTTGTGAACGTTGCTGTGATAAGGCCTCTATAATTAGGCTTAGTCATAAGCATCCCCTCTGTAATTCTGTGATAAAACCCAGTCGAAGAACGTATTCATACAAATGCTCAGAGAGGGGAATCAGAATGTGTTGGAGGCAATTGTCAACACGACTCTTTGTCTCAAGTAGTTTACCTGATGTAGCGCGGTGTGTAGTGGGCTGGGGTGTGCAGACTCTATGGAGCAGTGTGGACGTGTGTGTGTTTGGGAGAGCGAGGCGTTGTGAGTTTCAGCAGAGGCTTCCTGTGAGGGAGCAGATGTCGCAGAGCTCAGGCACAGCTGCGCCGGCCGATAACCACAGTGGCAAGAATATGTCGGCACGCTGGCTCTTCTGCCTGGCTCTTATCAGCCCAGCGCAGCATCCATACACACACATGCACACATACACACACACACGCACACACTGGGACAGACACTTCACAATAAGAAACTGCCACCCAGTGCTCACACAGCCGCACAGAGAGACCAGATAGTGGTACCCAGGCAATGAGAGAGATGCAAGAGCAAGGACTAAATCAAGGGTCTTTGAGGGAAAAGGTGCAGAGAATCCCTAACAAAGGCCTGGCTCATGTCTGCTATATCATAGACTTCATAATTTGGACCAAATCCTAATCCCACATTGCTGTGAATAGACTATTCTTTACAGCATTCCCTACAAGTTATTATAACTTCAATACCTCCTTTACTTTCAGTCTCACTTTGCACTCATTTTACAGTCATTGTATTTTATAATGTATTCCTATCTATTTCTATAGCACATGTTGAGCCATAGTTATGTAAAGTAGTTGGGTGTAGGGTATATTTTTTATGTTATTATTTACCCCCTTTGCATTTATAATTTTCTACAAACATATTATGCGGATGCATGTACAGTGCATTTCTGTGAATAGACAAACAAGGAACATAAATAACCTAATTTTTCTCATGTACTCTATATGTTTCCTAATCAGTTTTAACTTTTACATACTTGGGGCCTATCCCAACAACTGCCTACAGTAGTAAGCTTGTCACTAATGGCAAAATGACAGTGATATACTTAAATAAATCATGGACATGTGGGCTATATATCTGGTTATTTCATCAGATGTGTAACCCACTTTTTTTTTTTTAATTTAACTCTAAAATAGTTCAAATCTGATTTTCTTTGAAAATCTCAAACAGATTGTGGTATCTTAACCAAGCATTTAACTTGTGAGGTATGGAATAAACATGATTGGTGTTTTAGAAAAATAATGGTGACAGAGGTCAGCTGTAGTAGAGGAAGCAGTATCAGCTAATGAAGCTAATGCTAAATATGGAAAGTCAACGGCACACGTGTAGGAGGGCTGGTAATAAGGTGTGTGTTAGCCAGAGGGAGCGCAGTGGGCAGAGGAGAGAGAGCAGTTCTGCTCTGTATTTCCCTGTGGTTTCTATGAGGAACAGATGTTCACTACTTGATACAGTGGCTCATCCCCCTGTGCGCCCTATCTCCTGCTCCAGCACACCAACTGTCGGCTCGCACACTTATATTGTCTCTGGGGAAATGCAGCAGCCTGGACACGTGATGTTAGACTGCTTTCACCTGACTTTTACTGTCTGTTTCCCTCGCTCGTATCCTGCTCTTGAGTCAACACTTGATTTAATCAGGTGCTACTTCCTTCTTTGTCTGTTTGTTGGTCAGTGTTGACCCTGTTTGTAGAGCAAGCAGAGTTGGCAGAGTCTCGCCCTTGAAAATAGGAAATGCTGTACTTTGTCACAAAGGTTAGAATGATATTCACATGCAAAAATGTGAGAGGAACTGTCTGTTTAGTGGCTGTTATATCATTGGGAACATCAACATGAACAGATTAGCATTACATTGTTTAATGTAATGGGAATAAAATATATATACGGGCCTGGTTAGTACTTGGATGGGAGACCATAGGGAATTCCAGGTGTCATAGTGGGGCGCCAATGGCAAAAACTGTCGTTGTGTCCTGCACAAGACACTTGAGCCACATTGCCTAGTATGAAAGTGGTTTGTGCATGAGTGGTGGTGGTGATCAGAGGGGCCGATGTTGCAGATTGGCAGCTTCGCTTCGCAGTCTGGCCCAGGGCAGCTGTGGCTACAGTAGTAGCTTACCATCACTGAGTGTTGAGTGAATGAATAATGAACTGTAAAGCACTTTGGGTATCTTGAAAGGCGCTATATAAATGCAATGATTAATTAATTAATTAATTAAAGATGCTTTGGTCCACTGGCCCCATTTGAATTAAATTGCTCCTGTTTCCAAAGTCAGTATTAATTTAGAGAAATCTTTTTTGTAAATTTACCACTTGGCCAAGATTTATAAAAACACAACTTTAAAGAAAAAAATTAACTTAAAAAATACACTTTGAGTGCAGAGTAATTTGTTCACCCTTTTACATGAAGAATAAAGCAAGTCTAAACCCATTATCCAAGGTAACGATCCATTTGTTTTACTTCACACAATGAAGTGATGTCATGCTTTTGTGTAAAAGCTCTTGTAAAGTACAAAAGTAATTTTACAGGCGGTCATGGCCGCAGTAAACTCTTATTATGTAGTGCACTTGTTAGCGTTGTCATGTGGCATAAACAGCCATGAAAGTCGAGGGCATTTCTATGGATTAAATTCAGAAATCCCATCATGTCTGAGAGACTCAACAAGCGACACTTTGC